CCACATTTCTTATGTGGTTAAAGCTAACTGGAGCTAAAGCTAAAAGTTAGCATAGTCAGTTTTTTAGTTAGTTTTTGTTTAAAATCAAACGCCTGAATGGGACCATGAGCTGTATTGATCACAAGCTGCATACAAGTTGTTGTTTAAATTCATTTTGCATTTTTCCTTTGAGTTTTGAGACCGTCTAAAAACTTTTTTGGCTGTATATGGTGTCACTGTAGAGAGTGACTGTCCCCTCCCAGTGTGATGCCACTGAAAAACATCAATATGAGTTCTTTGTATATATATTGTGAATGTACTGTATACTTGATCACAGGAAGAATATGTATCGGAGGGACTGGAATGGTCTTTTGTAAAATACCAGGATAACCAGGGCTGTCTCGATCTCATTGAAGGTTCACCAATGAGTGTATTTTCTCTGCTTAACGAGGTGAGGGCTCATACTAATTTGATATGTTCTATTGCGATATAATGAACTTGTCTAAAATGCTTTCTGTTATTGTACTTTAGGAGAGCCGTCTTAACCGTGCTTCAGATGCCCAAATGTTTCGTGTTCGATTGGAGAACGAGCTTTCAGAAAATGGAAGCATCAGCTGGGACAGGTTCAGCAAAGAGCCACATTTCACTGTGGCCCACTACGCTGGCAAGGTGAACTACCAGATACAAGGCATGGTGGAGAAAAACAAGGTATGTGTGTTGTAGGACAGGGAGGGACAAAAATTTGTATCACAATAGAAAAAAATTCACATCTGACTAGACGCTTGAGGATAACAGAAATGAGACTTATGCGAATTGAGAATTTTTATCTAATTTGAAATCTGTACTGTGTGCACTATATAATGATATTCCTGACGTTATAATTAAGGCCGCTTAAAAGTGTCTTTTACAGTGTTTGTAGCCTTTGCAAAGCCAACACTGTCAATGATTTAAGTCTCTCTAGGGTTTAGCAGTAAAAATTAGCCATGATGTGATGATGTTCCTATCGGAACTCAGGGGAAGATCAGCTCCATAACATGCACAATTCTGTCCCAATATTCCAAATTTCATCCCCATGTATCAGTAACTACAAAGTCAAGCTGTAATCAGTTGACTAATCTTGATGACTGCTGCATCTTACATCACAGGACCCAGTGCCACCAGAGCTCATCGACATGCTTCAGAAATCCAACAACAGTTTGCTCCACCAGATTTTTGCTGAAGTTGAAGATGAGCAGCAAACTTCCAAAGGACTGAGTAAAGTGACTGTAGTCTCCAAGTTTAAGGTAAGAGCTGCCTCTTTGAGACCCTTGCCGAATGCAAAAAAGACAGTTTTGTTTTTTTTCACATGATTCTAACATGAGTATAACATTCATGAATGCCTATAGTTTGAAACTGAGTTGGAGGACACATCAGAAATATATGGTGGAATTTGCTGTGTAACTATCAGATTGCAGATCTGTTGACCTGGTTTAAGGTTAATATCTAATTACTGGGCCTATCCACATGAAACAAAAACTGGTATAAAGTTCTTAATCTGTTCTGTTAGCACAAAAGATTCTGCAACAAAAGTGAAATTACTTTTTTCAGAATAGCTTCAGATAGTGGTACCAGTTATATTCAACCCTAAATATGTTATTGTTGTCAGTTGAAAAGACTAATATGTTCAATCATATTTTCTATTTGTGTATTTCTTGCAAAAACAGTGAATCTCCTATAGAGTCATATAGCAGTTGCCCTCCATTTGAAATTATAACATAAATAAATTGTAGCTTATGACCCCAACCTATTCCTACTTGCAGAACTCTCTTGAAAGCCTCATGAGAATCTTGCACAGCACTACCCCTCACTACACTCGCTGCATTAAACCGAATCAGGACTGCAAGCCTTTGACATTCAAGAAGGAAGAAGTAGGTTTTGATTCTCCACAAACAAGAAGACATACTATTGTAGCAGGCACTGTAAAGAATATTTTTTTCAATTTGACAGGTGATAATGCAGCTAGAGGCATGTGGCATTGTAGAGACTATTCATATTAGTGCTGCTGGCTTTCCAGTAAGGTAAACATTGAAAAAAAAGTTTGTCTGTTAGATAATTTCAAAGTTTAATTTTTATTTATCATGTTGTGACTTCTTTCATAGAATTCCCTTTGAAAGCTTTACTCAGCGGTACAGTCTGCTTTTAAAACATTCAAAGTTAAAACCAGCTCAAACTCTTGGTAAGTCAAATGTGGACAAATTTCCAAATTATATTTGTCTTTTTCATCTACTGGCCTGTCTTCTCTTTCCTCCTCTTATACTAGTTCATCCTGTATTTCCTATTTTATTCAGGGTTTCTCTTTGGTGTAAAAAAATCTCTTAACATATGTGAAAGGTAAATGCAAGGCTGTTCAAGTTTGTTTTGCATGATGTTTATGTGTAACTCATCAATCAGTATATAATTTTAACATCTTTCACTTTTTCTTTCATGTGCATTATAAAACTTGCTTGATATGTAATTGTATGCTGTTTAAACATTTCATGCTTCATCTTCATAAATCTAGTTGTTTAATTGCTTTACTTTAATAATCTACCACTTTTCTGAATTTGTTTCAGACCTGGCAGGTGGGAACTTAAAGGAAGATGTAGAGAGGCTTCTTCATGTGATTTTGGATCAAGACGGTTTGTTGCACCAACTCAGAGGTGACAAACAGACGACTCTGGTGCATTGTGGGAAGACTAAAGTATTCCTGACCCAATCAATGGTCAGCCATGTTAAAGACCTGTGGTTGTAGCAGGACAGTTTACATCCAATGACCTTCCACTGACCTTTCTGTTTGTGTCTTTCAGCTTGATTTTCTGGAGGAACGGCGGAGGAGGGTCCTGTCTCAATGTGCCTTTACCGTTCAGTGCTGTTGGCTTCGGTATCAGCGCCGCAAACGCATTACCAGGCAACAGTCTGCCACTCTGATCCAAGCAGGTAAACCTTAATGCTCTGACCCCATTGTCTGGCCAAGAGGCTGCAGCTGCAAGTGCCCCTAATCTGTTTCTATCAGGGGTGACACAGTTGTCTGTCCAATATGAAACATTAATAAAGGACATGTAATTTTAAAATATTGTTTAGGTTAAAATATTTTTGTGTATGTTTTGTGTCTGCACAGTTGTGCGGTCCTGGCTAGTGAGGAGGCGAGTGGTTCAGTGGAACAGGGCTGCTGCTATTATCCAGAGGACATGGAGGAAGTGGAGGGTGAGTATTTGAGCATCTAATCTATGATCTGTTTACCAATATGTTTAAAATATTCTTACTCTGTTATTGTTGTCATAGGACCTACTGAAATCTCTGGCTGACTTAGAGCTGGATGATGCAGCGGATGTTGTGACTGAAGAATTACTTGAGCTAAACCCTCTCATTAGGGAGAGGGGCTCAGTCCACCTTTCCAGTATCTCAGAGCCAGTCACTGTGCGGGGGTGGCCCATGGGCCTGGCTCTGGCCTCAGCTTCGTCCATCACTGTGTCTTTCACCGCCACTGGATTTCATAAAATGGTGTCTCTCGTGGCCTCCCTCAAGCTACCGTCCAGAAGAGGGCAGTACATGGTGGAGACCAACCAGTGCAGTGAGGGACTGGCCTCCATCAGAGCTCAACCAAAGGTGAGACTTCAAATAAAAACTTGGATCATTGTTATTGTTTGTACTAAAATACAAAATAAAACATATTTTTATATGATCTTTTTTAGGGATCTACAAAGCTTCACTATCAGCGATCACCACTTCTTTATGCAGACAGACACCCAGATCTGCAAACTCACATGACAGGGTTCAATGAGATCCTGCTTGAAAAAACTTTGTAATTGTTTTTAGAGAACTTAGCCTGGTGCTGCGCTAAATGCAATCAACCTCTGACCAAAAAATTATTGTTGTAGATGTCAAATTTGCTTTTGTGCTGTTTAGAAAGGGAACAAGATGATGATGAACCTGAATTATATTTGTATTTAAACAAAAACTAATTCAGACATTTCAGAAGTGCCAAGGTCTTCCAATATTCTATTACATTTGCATTTACGTTTGTGCTTGGAGTAAGTAGACAATATAGTGAGAGATGAACGTATTAACTGCACATGTACAGCATATATTGCAATTTGCACATGTAATATTCACAGATATGTAATATTCAGTATAGTTTGCTGTAAACATGATGCATGGTTTTAAGTGTAAATTAGTATTTGTATTTTAAAGCTGACAGTCTTTTTGGAATGATCAAGTCAAAATATGTGTTAAGTTAAAGTATGTCACAGTGGTTGTGTCACAGTAATCCTCAGGAACACTAATAGCTACATTGACAAAAGTCATTGAGCATTTGTGGCAGTGTGAAATCTGCACAATAAGTCATGTTTAATCCATTTGTGGTACCAAAGACTTGAATTATATCATATCTTTAACAGAACAATTGAAATAAACAAAACATGCAATTAAATCTTCACATTGTATTTATATTTGCATGGTATTGCATATTTACAAAATTGCCAGTAATTTATGGCTCTTTACAAGTAAATAAAAAAAAAAAGTGTCCTAGTTTTACCATATTTACTCATCAAAGTTGTCATCTTGATTTACAATTTTCAAGCAGCAATCAGAGAATTCAACAAACAGGGGCTCCTGCATAGCAGCTTTCATTGCCTGGTCTTTGCTCTCAGCATTATCAATGGAGCGCAGCAACTGTCTTAGGTGAGGGTTACACAGAAGGTCCTGCAACTCTTTGGACTGATCTATGGAGAAAACAATACACACATTAAAACATCTGAACAGTAGTTAAATGTGTACTCCACTGACTCAACCTGGGTTTATTGAATATGTTGGTTTGTAAGAAAATATCATTAGACATTATCAATACCCAGCAACTGTAGTTGATCCATAGGTACTTTATCAATTATGTCATCTTCATGTAAAAGGTCATCAGCAGTCCATGGGTCTGTAAAATAAAGTAGTAAAAATAAACAAAGGTTCATTTTAGTGGTTGGCTGCTTTTGTGGATACCTGGCTCACAAACTGAGCAGATTTTGAAACTTTGGTTTTTGACCTTAGTTTTTAACATCATATGATGAGATTTTAATCAACTAGGAAGTGCAGCATGTGCAGTTCAAAGGACAAGCGGGACTGTTGCTTTTTATGAAATGAACTGTTTGTTTTTCCCATATCCATGGAGACCATGAAAGAGGCTAGCGAAGGAGACAGCTATGGACATTTGAGCTGCTACAGGTTTTTTTTACGCCACATGTGGCAGCAAATGTGGCAGAAGATCTTCAGAGGAAGTACTTTGATGGGATGAACACAAGGGACTGTTGGATTATGTGAAATAAACTCTTTTCCTCATTTCCAAGGAGATTGCGTAAGAGGCTAGCTAAGTAGCTAGCTATGGACATTTGAGATGCTACAGACTTTTTACATCATATGTTGCAACAAATATGGCAGAAGATCTTCCAGAGGAAACACTTTGAGGGAATGGACCATTTAATCACCAATCGAAAGACCAGGGCCTTTTCTGTTGTGTTCACCTGGTTCCCCTTGGACATTGCTGTGGTGCTGCAGGACACAGAAGGGGGGACACTTTTGGCTCTTCTTCTCCTCAAACTGCTCCGACACAGGAACTGCTGACCCTCCCTGACCAGTCCTCCTGTTAAACTGCACTGAGATCTTTGACTGGAACACAAGCGACTGAGAAGAGCAGTGGAAATGTTGCAGCAAAACTGCAACAGTTTACTTCATGAAAACTTGAATTCCCATCAGGATCAATAAAGTATCTCTCTCTCTCTCTCTCTCCTTCTCTCTGTCTCTCTGTCTCTCTTTGAGCCGAAGCACATTACAACAGACTGTACCTGCACTGATGGTGGCTGTGCTTCCAGGAACTGTGGGTGCAGGTGGTGAAGGAACAGGAAGGCAAGAATCTGCAAGTGAGAACATGTACTATTAAAGGATCCATTGTTCAAATTCAACTTCCATAACACAATTTGAAAGGTGCACATTCAACAGATATTCAAACATATTTACAAAGAACGCAATAAAATCGTGTTACCTTTATGTTTCTTGTAACAAACTAGGGAGCAGCTGCAAGAGAATAATAAAAAAAAAACATGTCAAAACATTTAAAGGTGCACTATGGAACTTTTCTAGTAAAAGGTTCACCACCTGCTTGTCTCCATGTTATTACTTAGCCAGGAATGCTCAACACACAGTGTGATTTTAAACTGGTCTATCTTGCATTCATTCAATTATGAGTGTCTTTTATTCCTAGAAATACATACATTCTTATTCTGAGCGCTCCGGTCCACAAACCTGACCTGTAACTTGGCCTGGTGGTGGTGTCATGCCAATACCATGCTACTCTGAATTATAAGCAATGTAATACCACACAAACGGAGACAAACCATGGATCTATAGTAACAACTTTTATTTTTATTACAGTTCTATGAGACAAACTTACAAATCTTTAAATACACAACGTGTACAGTTAAGATGCAGTAGATTAAGAACTGTGCGGCATCTGATCCATCTTATCCAAAACCTACGTCCATGATTAAAACTAGCATTGATTGTAACCGCAAACTCAAGTTAAGAAAATATACTTACTATCTTATCTTGCAGACTGGACATCTGTATTTAGGCGTTTGCTCGGTACATACACTGCAGAGTTGCATTTTCTTGATGTTTGGATTTTTCACGTGTTGCCTATGTTGTTGTGAACTTCCGGAACGTGTCGCTTCCGGGTTAGTAAGTGCACCTTCAAAATAAAAGTACGGGACATCGCTTAAAGAGGGACGATAAACGTTTTATTTACAGTACAGATTAAGAAAGACTTCTAAAATGTGCAATCAGGTAAATGTTACTGTTGCATATTCTATAATGACAATTTACTAACCTAAATATTATGATAAAGATTTGTATTAACTTAATCTATGTTTGAGTAATTACCATAGACTGTGTCAAGAAGATTATTGTCAATGATAATTATAGCATTACAGTGTTTAAGAACAGCAGACAGGCTAACACTTTAAATTAACTGGACTATAGTATAATAATAATAATCCTTTTATTACTAAATTCATAAAATTGATTGCAACGCAAACGTAAGACAACATATACCAAACTTTGGACATAAAATGGTATTATAAAACATAAGACAAAAATAAAATAAAAATAAATAAAAGCATGTTATTGCAGTAAAATAAAAATAAATATATATGTCTTTACTGTGAGATTTTGATAGCCCTGACTCATATGGTGGATGTTGCTTGTTTCCATGGAGATGTAATTGCTTTGCCTACAATGCAAAATGTATCTGTCTCTATGGTGAAAGTCCCTTAGCCTGGCTTTACAGTGTTACCTTCATTTGTGAGTTCTGAACTAAATGATTGAGTACAGACAGTACAGAAAAAAACAATTCATTAATGTATTTATTTATTTATTTAAACATGATAATAACTTTCCACTTTGTTCATTAAAATACAATATATCTCTTACATTCACAAATAGCTATATATTTATACACACTCACACATCAACTTCTACAGAGATCAACAAAAACTATTCCTGCGTCGCTGTAACAGAAGAGAACTAGGTCTTGTTACAGATACAGTACTGGAGAGCGTGTCCTGGGTGTGACTCCAAAATATTCTTGATGTTGCCACACTCCAGTCACTAGGTCAGGGAAAGGCATTTGGCTTGGTCAGTGTCTGAAATCCAACCTGTCTGCATCTGTGGAGGAGAATTTAACAGTCACAAAAACAATCATTACCTCAAAAAAGTCGTATTCATCAGAGAACCTATAATTACTATGTAGACCTATGTATAATCCACAGTTTATTCAGGGACAGATGTTTTTTGAGGGGTGTGGTGATTTAAGCCACACCTGTTTTATATACAGAACACAGTGTACTCTGGCAAAACATGTTTACATTTCACAAAAGTGCCATCCAAAGTGGTACAAAAATAGAGAAAGGGAACAATTGCATTTAATTGTTTTGAAGGTCAACTCTGCAATGTTTTTGTTCACCAAGACAAGCCTTCCAGCCTATGGGGGATGTGCATGTTTTCCATCACAGTTCTCCTATAAAATTACGTTCAAACAAACACCCAAAAATGTATTAGTTGTAGAAAACACCACGTTCTTACCTTCTTTGTCGTTAGGAGGATGAGCTCTTGGTTCGTCGACGCTTTATTTCACTATTGTGGTATTTCTCTGCAATTTTCCTCTCGTGGCCTGCGGGACAATGGCGGTTGGTGTTGAGCTCGATCTCTCTCTTGGTGCGTCCTTTACCTCCAGCGTGACACGGGTATTCGCGCAGGTTGTAGTAGTCGTATTGGTCATAGAAGGCCTCCTCAAAAGAAGCCAGTCTTTCGATGTCTGTTGCCATTTTGTGGAGAGGAGAATGCAGCAGCAAGATCTCTCTGTCAGCGAACCTAACAGCAAGTAAACAGATGATGTCACTGAGTGTTTTTATATGGGCGACCACGTGACCATGACTGCGCCACAGAGGAGGATAGATCCATGAGGAGATCCACAAGACCACATATATTACGAAAAATTTTAAATAAAAAATAAATACACATTCAGTTTTAGAGGGAGATGTCATAATTGTATGGAAATGCTGCATGGTTTGTAACTCTGCAAACCTAATTGTTTTATTTAAATTAGAATCCACAAGATATAGAGATGACAAAAACATTCTGTCTGCTACATGTCTGTTTTGTCTGCAGATCGTTTGTTTTGTTTTTGTCATGTCCATTCATAACTTAATTACCATTACTAATTGCCTATAGCCAATAAAATTGCTCCAGTCTCTGTGACCTTTTATCAGTTATCCCATTGATAGCTCTGTGTTCATATTGCCTATGCAGTCAAACTCCGGGAATTATCATGTAATAATTAAACCCAGTATATTTTAATGTTTTGTTTTACACTATCAGCAAACTGTGGCCCCGCCCTGATGCTGTGGTGCGTCTGACGCAGCTCCTTGTCCCTCCTCCGCCGCGCAGAGACAGCTCTGCGTCTGTGTGCGTGTCTCCACAGCTAGGCCAGAGAGATGGCGGCGCCCGTCCTGAGAGTGTCCACCCCTCGGTGGGAAAGAATAGCCAGGCTTCTCGTCTGCTTAATAGGGATCCTGCTGTCTCTATACGCCTTTCACGTGGAGAGGGAAAAGGCCCGTGATCCCAGTTACTCGGCGATGTGCGACCTGAGCAGCTCGGTCAGCTGCTCCAAAGTGTTCAGCTCAAGGTAATTTTGAATTGAGCAAAGAGCGCTCAATGAAGCGGCTGCTGCTTTGTGGCAAACAGGGAAGGGCTGCGCGCTCTCACTGTCTGATCACATTTACCTGTAGCCTGATAGCACTAATACAGCCAAACCTATGCCAACAAAGCCATTCTGCTTTGAATTACTCATGATTCTGGTGTTTGTCTTCTGGTTCAGTGTGTAAATGTAATGAGCACATCATTAGCTATGTAGCTTATCAAAGCTAACTTTGCTATCTTAGCTAATGTTTGATGCACATTGGATCTACTACTCAATTATACTGTGTCCAATAGGATCTACAGTAGAATTGTCTGAATACACTTTATCTCTAATCTTTGGCTTTGGACCCGTAAATTTGATTATTAAAGATAATTACAGAAGATTGATTATAAAAAAAAAAAAAAACTTGTCGAATTTTGACATGTTGAAAAAAAAAACGCAATATTTTGTGTGAGCAGTCACTTTGAGATATTTAGTTGTAGTTTACTATTGATTGTTTTCTTTTGCGAACAAAGTCTGCTACATATTGAATAGTATCTGTCATGCTCCTGTCATTAGCCTGGGCTAAAGTTGAAAGCTTGCAGTCGATAGTCTGGGGTTGTTCACACTATGCAGAGGCGGAGCACGGGCTTCTACAGTGCTCAGTAACTCTTGTAGAAGAAGATTGTACAATTTTGTGATATGTTTAATGGTATGATATGTGCTAGATAAACACTGAAAACCCAGAATCCAATAAGGGTCTAAACAGTATGGATAAATAGCAGGATTAGTTGGAGTCAGGTAGTTGCATTAATAACTGGGTTAACTCATACTGGAGACATGCACACTTTAAAGCCCCAATGAAGTTGCTAATCCTGCTCTGTTGTAGACATGTCACATCTAGGCTACCCCACCTATTTGTCTTCCTGTGCTACACCTGTAGCAAGAGGAATGTTCTGGCAAACTAATCTTAGTTCTGTTTTTAAATAGAGCATAAATTAATGTGTGCAGCAAATGTTAAATAAATATTATATATTCAGTGCCGCAGAAGTGGATGATACACTGGCTCTCTATTAAAAGATTTGTGCAATGTTCATTAGTTTCACCTTTGGCCCAATTGTCCCTTATGTCTGTATTAAATGTTGTTTTTATATTTCAGGTGGGGCCGTGGTTTTGGACTGTTGGGTTCCATTTTTGGAAACGATAGTGCACTGAACCAACCAAACAGTGTCTACGGGGTGGTCTTTTATGCTTTTCAGCTCTTACTAGGTAAGCTGTTATGTTTGCCTTCTCACGTGGTCGATGTAGTTCATGCTACCTTTAGAACATATAGTACAGTGATTCCCAAAATTTTAGTCTCACTCCCTATTAATGGAATCAGTGTTTGCTAAGTAATTATAAATATGTTTACAAGTACATTGCCTATTATTACTATAGTATTTTCTTATTTTGATAAAATGGACCCCATAATTATCCTACAGAAACATTCTTGTGGATGTAGAATGTACTACAAAAAAAATATTTCATATTCAAATACCATTCATTACCACTTCTCTTTTAAATCTGAAACCATTCATCAATTTCAGTGTCCCATTATTGAATATTATTTATAGCACTAAGCTTTGAGTCTGCAAGAGCAGCCTTAAAAAGAGCCTTCTGCTCTAAAACACAAAAATGCATTTTTTAGAAATACAGTCAATTCATGAGTCAAAGAAGTGTGTTTCACACATTTGTTTGTAATGCTTCAATTATGAGGGATTACAGCATTTGAACTGGCTACATGAGAGCATTCCTATTGCAATTGAATTCAGTACACGTTTTCTATTTATAGAGTCTCGCTGCCAGTGTGACATTGACGTTCTATACAGTCTCGGTGTATATTTGACAGTATATCCAGCATGTCTCCTCTGCCATGTCACTGGTCATGTCACTGGTCATGCCACTGGTCATGCTGTTCAGACATGTTGCCAGTAGGGCGGCCTGTGGGCTCGTCTGGCCACCTGGTGCTGGCACAGAACAAGTGGTCCTTTTAGCCACAGCAGTTAGTGCTCATTGACTAACACAATAGAGGCACAGTTAAGCCAAACTGCTACAGCGGGTCAAGATCTCCATATTAAAGAAAATGTCAGTTAGGGTCAAAACTGTCAAATGTTGCAATGTTTGTGGCAGCATGACTCCACAATCCTCTACACAAATCAGAGGCTTGCTGCCTTACTCAATGACAAAGGGCTGTTCATATTTAGTAATCTGAAAGTTCAAATCGTTGCTTTCACCGATTACTACACCTCATGTGACAAAGTATGACCCGTATAATGGTATTTCAGTCACGGTGAAGGGAGGGATCCTACAAAGGAGAACTGTCCGAGGCTCAGAGAATCGCAGACTCATCATTTTGCTTGTGTGTTTAAAAGCCTTTCACTTCTTTGCCTAAGCTTTACTGTGTGTTTCTTTGCTATAGGACTAACTGTGAGTGCAATGGCCGCCCTGTTTCTCATGACGACCTCCATCCTGTCGGTGATGGGCTCCCTCTACTTGGGCTACATCCTCTACTTTGTCCTAAAGGACTTCTGTGTCATCTGCATTACCACATACGCCCTGAACTTCATTCTCTTTATTCTCAACTATAAGCGACTAGTTTACTTGAATGAGGCCTGGAAGCAGCAGCTCCAGACGAAGCAGGACTAAGCTGTGGAAAAACGGCAAGAAAACATAACACAAAAATTGAGACAAAAAAGAAATGTGACCTCTGAACATTTGACTTGCCACCAGGAGACCTTGCTTCCAAATGTTTATTCTGCTGTGTGTTCAAACAAAAAATGAAGAAATTTAACTGGGCCTGACACCTCAATGTTGATTGCAAACGCTGAAGGATTACAAAGTTTAAGAATTCTGTCTTTTAAAATTCCTTTCCCATGGTTTAACGTTGTACTCTTGGACGGGATGGCTATGCAGCTGTGGGGGAATCATGTCAACCCGAGAAAAGCAGAGGCACATTAAAGGATCAATGGAGGATGGATCTCACTGAACAAAAGGATCACAAAATGGAAGAAAGTGGGATGTTGCGTTTAAAGGGGAGCACTTGAAATGCTAAAACTGCACAGTGGGTCTACATTAAAAGTAAGGAAGGATTGGCAGGTCCCTGATGTAGAGTTCAATCAGTTAAACAGTTTTGCAATTGTGTGGCAGGGTATGGGGGACAAAACCAATAACATTAAAAGTAGGCTTTTTCATGTTTACACTCATAATGAGGAGGACCACTAAACAACAATGTGATATATTGTCTTTAGATCATTTAGTTTTATTTTGCATTACTGTAAATAGCTAATGAGCAATATTCCAGCCTAGATTGTACTTTGTCTAGTTGGCACAGATGTTTAAAGGATTACAATCTGGACAAAAAATACTCAAGTCAATGGTAAGGCGAAAAAGCAACAGTACGTCTGTTAACCCGGTCAGGCAGTTCAAAAGTAGCGTAGACTTCAGCGTGGATGTTGATGGAGCCAGTGAATAGATTTCTGGTATCGTTTGGCCATGTGAAAACCATTCCTGACCACCTCACATGTGGGATCTAAGACTTATGTGCCTAAAGGAGTCAAAAACAGTTACTTTTTTATTTCAGAGATGCGGGTGAGGTGAGGGCATGTCATGTTAACACGTTTTATTCCTTTTTGTCTGAGGTTTAATTTTTTTGTCTTTGTAAATGACACTACCAGTAAAGTGTTCCCTCCTTCCTAGCAGAGTATATGAGGTAGCAAAGGCTGCTACACTGTGATTGTCTTCTAAACAGTGTCATGGTGGCAGGGGCATCTCCAATATTTATGTCTTGCTTATCTGGTTAGTCACTGTCAGAGCCTGCGTACATGTGATGGCAATTGAACAGTTACAGTGATCTTGTATGGCTGGAGTTCATTGTAGGAACAAAACTAATGCAGCATATAACAGTTAATAAAAAGGGTCTTAATAATATTCATACAATGGTATCCAGGTGGTTGTGATGAGATGATGTCATACTCCTAGATGAGGGGCAAGAAGCAGTTTTTCTAATAGATTACATTGTACTTCTACCATGGAATATCCAATAGGTAAATACACAAATGTTGAAGGAGATCATCTCTACTAGTAACGTGACCCTAGTACTTGCTAATAACAAAATATAATAATTTTAACAAAATCCATTTTGGCTGACCCCGATCTGTATTAAACATTACATTATAGAATGATCTTATCTGAAACCCAGCAATAGCAATGCCAGAAGCCAACAGTATTTAAAATATTTGGTGCAAATTGCATAATAAAGTTTTACTCTATCAGATATATGGTTTAGTTATTGGACAGCCCCTGAGTCTCACGTAAACTGCACCCAATGTGGTTCAGAACAGTGCAGACATGTCACCTCTTGTCACAATACCCATAACTCTTCTTACAGAAGAGTTCTGTTTTTTGCATATTGTTGGTGAATAGCTTCCTTTAATTACTAGTAAATGTATAGAAACTGACTGTATGACCACTGTTGTTGCCATTTACTATGAACCTGAATATTATAATACAAAGACAGACCATTTCTGTATATCTTTGGTCCAACATTGAGAATATGACCTCAACTTGTTTTATCTTAAAGCAATATTTGCAAATATGCTGCTACATGAGTGAACCCTGACCAAAAAGTACTGCAGCTCACTCCAAGGCTAAAGCAACTGAATCTGTACCACAATATATAGAACCTGGTCAATTAACACATGGTATTTATGTGATTGTATTTGTATGATGATTTGGGGGTTGCATTATGTTTTGGCTCTTCCTAAAACGGTTTAGCTGGTCAAGCATTACAATAAGACTGTGTTTTTGTGTTTTCCTAAAGAAAACAGGTCATCTGTAGACTTGTCTAAACTAGTCTAGAAGATGATGGGACCTTCTGTTTTTTGTCTGTTCTACCACCTCACATGTGTGCAGGAGATGAAGTCTGAAGGTTCAAACTGGTACAAAAATCATTTATGTCTAAATATATGTTAAAATACTGAGCACTGGAGCTTCTTTAACATCTGTCAGACCCTGAGGTATAACTGCCATGTTAACTGCATCACCAATGCCAACAAAAGTGCCTTCTGTGGGATCACTAGGCCTTGAGCCAAAGACGAGCAACAGAGCCTTGTAAAATAATGAATGGTTACTGCAATAGGCCCATTGCCTTCTCAAAATTTACTGATGAATTTGTCATTCCCAACAAGTCAATAAGTGATATTAATGTACAACCAGTCCAAAAATTGCCAGATGCCCTGTCAAATAAGGCTGTTTTCCACATTGTAAACTTTTTTTTTTGTCTAGCTAGGACATGTTTGTTAGCAAAGATACACTCTGTACCAGTTTCAAGATTGTAATGTTCTTTTTCATCATTAATTATGCCCTTTAGCTGTATAGACTGTTAATGTTGGGTTATTTTAGTTAAAAAAAAAAACAAGAGTTTGGGGGGCTTGGAATCCATGTGTCAGCATAGACCATTAATTAAATTTCTTTGTGGAGAAAACTTGGTTTGCTTCTGTATTGCCAAATATGTTTTAAAATGCTGTATTTTCTTAAACGGAAAAGTGTTACTGGAACTAAAAGAGGGGACAACAAGGAAAGCAGCTCTAATCAACTGAAACAGTAAAGAGGTGGCATTTTTAATTGTCATTGTCACATGGAAATAACCTACCATTAAAACATTCCCTCTGAAACAGCCTTCACTTTTTTTTCTCAAATCCTGATTCCTGCTAAATGAAAAATCTATACAGTGCATATGTGGCTCAGTAATGTGAACATTCAAAGCATGTTTAAGATTACAGACTTGAGGCAAGAAATAGTCAATAATTAGAGCCCTGAGGGGCGTGAGCAGTTCTTCAGACCTAAAAGAACTGTGTTGCAAAGTTGCAAATAAAACCTATGGCTGACTGGCTGAACTAGGCAAGCAAGGAAACGCTGCTCAAACATTTAAGACTAAACTACATTTTTCATTTCAATTAAAATGTATCAAGATTTACAATGCAAAGATAAAATTGTCTGTATTCTTTATTTTTAGACATAATATGAATGAGTGTATGCACAAAGGTCAATCGTGTGATGAGACCAAAAGTCAAGGAACTGATAAAAGGAATGAGACTGCAATTACTCATCTATTCACTCATGTCCAGTTGTCCACCAAGATCAGCCTTACGCAATGTAGACTAAAGTTTGCATGTTTCTTCCTGGGTCTGAGCGGGATTCTTTTAGGCAGCTTTTCCCCATAAAACCTAAAACATGCACAATAAGTAAAATCTTCACGTTAAGGTAGTCCTGACCAAGTCTAGCTCAAGATCTGGATATGTTAATTAAGGATGAGTCAAATGTAGAGGACAAATTTCTCAATGGGGCAATAAAATATACCTTAATCCTTAAATATTAGACAAACAACCCATTATAACATATTGACCATTTATTCTTAAAAGTAATTTCTCATTTGCTTGCATATAAAAATAGGTTTGTATTCGCAATAATACAAACTTTAGTGCATAGACCACACAAATTATAAAATTAAACTGTAATGTAAAACAGGAATGCTCTTTTGGAAGCCATGAGATAATGACATCTTAGTCTGATAACCTGATACAGTAAAAATATTTATTACAGCCAACTACCTCACGCACAGTATCTCTATGCAGATTTGAAGTAGGAAAATGAGCACTTGATAAGGCATTTGTGTGCTGCTGCAGAAGTGCCTCACAACCAGTGGTGGATGAAGTACTCCGTTTTGTTACTTAAGTGAAAGTACAGACACAAAGATAAAAAGTTACTCAAGTAGAAGTATCACAGGAAAAAATCTATTTAAGTAAAAGTATTAAAAGTCACTGTTTGAAAATGTACTTTGAGGAAAAAAGTAAGTTTCGCAGAGACTTTTAGAATAATTAAAGGATGAAATACAGTGATTTTGAAAAATAATTTTGCAGATTTTAAGTGATTCAAGTGATTTCCTATTTTTTGTAGTTGCTTTTGTGTATTTGGTTTGCTCATAATTGGGACAGAAATTCAAATTAAATCTACTAAAAAAAAAAGTCTCCACCATTTCAGCAGGTCTCATACTCTAAAGAAAAGTACTTTTTACTTCAGTCTAGACCTAAAATGTAGTGGGGTACGAAGTACAGATACCTGCTCTTAAAAGTAACACAGTAAACAAGTACAGATATGTAACACTTGTACTTAAGTATTGTACTTCTCACAACCATAAAACACCGGCAGCATTGCTCTGGGCTCAGTACATGCAAATCTCATCACAGGTCTGATCTTGATCTGATCTGATCAAAGGGAGCATGGGTATCTGGTCCATGGAGGCAACTTTCTTGTTCCATTTGCCAAACTCCAGTATCTCTCCCTCAGGAGGAAAGCTGCAGATTTAGGCTGTCTCTGTCGTGTGAAGATCCCCTTTTTATTCCCCACCACTCGAGTGATGCCTGCAAACAAAAATATGATAATTATGAGTCTGTCTCGAGGTTGTACTGATTATGAACGCATTCATTTAAAGGGTCTATATTATACTTTTTTCTGATCTATGCTGTAATGTTGGTTCCTCTTAAAAAAACATAGCTGTGTTCCGTTTCATTCACACACACATGTTTAACACACAAACCCTGCATATTTAGACTAGATTTCTCTGTTCCACCTTGTGATGTCATGGTAAAACAGGAAGTGCTCCATGGTGCACTTTAAACTCCATACACCTTCACTAAAATCATCCAAATGATGATCACTATATGACATCACAAGGTGGAACAGAGCATTCTGAACATTTTAACATGGCTAAAAGCTCAAAAGTCAATTTTACATAATATGAGACCTGAAAAGTACACAAGGTACATTTTTTGATGGAGCGTCTGACATATTGCAAACATCCCTGGTCATCCCCCAGATCCACATACAGAAGTTTGGTGATCGTTCTTTTGCTGCTGTTGGTCCAAAGCTCTGGAGCGTCTTCCCAACCCAGCTCTGATCTGTCACTGAGCTAACCTCTTCAATGCTCAGTTTAAGACACACTTATTTAGGCGAGCCCTTGACACATAGTTCTGGTGTGCCTAACACTCTTGGTATTTTAATTACTTCTTATTGTTTATTTACTTTTATTTGTATTGTATGCCTGGAAGGAGCATATATATAAATAAACTGCCATACTTTGATTCTGGAAGATTCTGGAAAGCAATAACATGAAGACAAGCAGGTGACGAACCCCCCCACTAGAAAAGTTCCAAAGTGCACCTTTAAAGTTGAAATAATTTTGAGGTGCTGTCAGTGGTACCTTGAGCAGTCATGAAATCTGCAAAGTTCCAGATGAGTTCTCCGATCACATACTGTTTCCTCTTCTCATCAAACACCTTGTGGTAACGCTGCAGTACGTCCCTCTGGTATTCCTCCGTAAACATCATGGGAGGATCCTGAGAAAATGAAATTATATAACACTATTAGGATACATTAAAATCATTACTGTGTAGAGATGGGGAGTATGGGGAATATGTTAACAATATTCATTTATTCTAAATTATTTAGCTCCTTTCTCATTTTTGTGTTTCCCTTGAAAATACCAAATTTTGTGCACCCATTTAACACTCTTGGCATTTTAATTACTGCTTATTTAAGGTTTTGTCCTTCCAATTAAATCAGTGTGTAATTATAACAGTTATTCTTACACTTACTCTTATTTGAGCAGGGGTTTTAGTAGTTTAACATTTTTGCTCTTCTTGGATTACTACTTCGTACTTCTATTTGAGTAATATTTTGACGCAACGTTACTCTTACGTGAAAATGTTATATGCATTTTTGGCTACTCCTTCCACCTCTGTGGCCTTATAAATTACAACATTCTCTTACACTGTGAACTCCTGGGACTGCGTCTGCTCCATATTCACTTTGGATGATGGGCTTCTTGTATTTCCCATACCAGTTTTCAAACTGTGTGCTGAGTTGGATGGGGATCACCTCCATATGGCCTGGATCATGGTACCAGGAGAAGTAACTGTTTACACAGATGACGTCTACGTACGGGGCCTAAACACAACACAAAACATTTATTAGATGTGAAATACCCCATGACTAAAGTCAGCTGAATATAGAGAAGTCTAATGTAGTACTGAATTTGACTAAATCAAACTCACCCCTTTGTCTCTGGCATAGTTACTGTCAGTGATGAAAGTAACAGGGCGGGTGGGGTCCAGCATTTTGGTGTGCTTTATTAATGTGCTATAAACAGGAAAAATAGAGTACCTTTTAAATTCAGTAATTGAAATTAAAATTTACACAATGTAATTTTTGGTGGCTGGTCCACCACCAGCTTTTCTCCATGGACATGTCATTGCTTTGCAAAAACTGAAAATTTGCATTGGTGCTTTCATTGATGAGGCTGTAATTTGAAGACGTTTGAATAAATATGAGGCAGTTTGTGGAAGTTTGTGTTATGTTTGTATGTATATTTGTAGTAAGAACTGTTTGTTTATCAAAGTATTTTTGCACTCAAAACACTGAAAAAATTAAATGCAAGATATAATGCCATACTGTAGAACATTCCAAAAAAGCAATGACATCTTGTTGGAAACAAGCTGGTGGTCGACTTCTAACTAGAAAAATTACATAGTGAATCTTAAAAAAAAAAAAAAAGGAGCTTGTCATTGTTTATGGTTTGTAGCTTCCAGTTACATGTAATATTTTGAGGTCTTTTCCCCCCATTCAAAACATATATTTTGTTTTAAATTGTTAATTGCTATGGCAACAGTCATTCTGGAGCCCATGGATAGGTCAAATGCCTTTTCCCATCTCTACTCCTATGCGAACAGGACACATTAAAAAAAAAGAAGTACAAATTAATTTGCATTCTCAGGAATTAAACTAGGGCTGTTAACTGGGAGATGGGCATGTCCTGCCACTGTAGTGTTTGTGTTCAGGCAGATACATGGGACTACTCTGACTACATTCCTCAAACGTGAGTACAGGGAAAGGCCTTTGTCAACACTCTCTACAACACTTAACACATAACGCTTTTGAACAATACTTTGAATAGTTGTCAAGCTTTCAATCAGACTTAAATCCAAGAGGATTTAAAGACAGTCAAATGTGACGTGTCTGCTAACTGGTGGCTCTACTCTGTCTGAAGCTCTGTTACTCAAGTTAGACATTAATCTGAGCTTTATTTTAACACAATCAGCCCAGAACGAGCTGACATAGTTGGCGCTACAAAAGGTGAAATGAATTGTGCGCTTAAAAAGTCTCTCACGTATAAAATTACACTCACATGCTGGCTTTTTGCAGTTAGTCATACTCACCTTTTTTGTTGAAAATCAAACACCTAAACAGAACCATGAACGTTTGTATTAATCGCAGGCTTCTGAAGTTTTTAAATCCATTTTGTATTTTTTCCTTGATTTTTCATAGTATCTTAAAATGTTTTGGTAATTATTGCTAATGTCTGCACTGTGTCACCATGGTAACTGATGAACATTACACCATAAAAATACTGTACATAGAAATTCACCCCCAGCATGATGTCACTGCAAAGTATCTGTGCCAAGGTTAGTTCAGAAACAGTCATGGAGGAAGTTAGACTCACCTAAAATAATAGTCAGCAGGAGGCATCTCAGCAGCCGGCTCATTGGCCACAGACCACATCACCACAGATGGGTGGTTTTTGTCTCGACGCACAAATTCATCCATAACAGAAAGGTGATGGGCTAGAGAGGCATTCCCAAAACTTCGGCTAGACCACAGGAAAAGCAAGTTTTATTTTTAGAGCATGATTTGTACACAAAGTAATTCAAAGTGCAGGACAAGAAAATGCATTAAAAACACATAACAAATAAAAATGCAAATGCAGATAAAATGAAATAAAAATAGTACAATGGCAAATGTTTATATTTATTTACATGTCTTTAATGCCAACTCCTGGACACTCGTCTATGACCACGATGCCATGACGGTCACACATCTGCATGATCTCCTCCGCGTACGGGTAGTGACTGGTGCGGAATGAATTGGCTCCTAACCACTTTATTAAATTAAAGTCTTTGACAATCAGGGGCCAGTCCAAGCCTTTGCCTCTAATCTGCAACATCAAGTATGGATTAGTGTGCACTTGTTAAAGCACTAAGTGCACTAAGTATCTATTCGGGTGTGGGTCTGTTACCTACTGGTCTCCATAGAGATTTTATTGCTTTGCCCAGGTATGGCGGATTTATTTCATTACACATTTTTATTGCTAAAAATAAAATACAATCTGACTGTAAACAGGGTTGCTTTTCCACATATGTGACCTGTAACTTGGCCTGGTTGCATCACCTGCTTGTCTCCATAGATTAGTTTCTAGGCAAAGTAATAACATCTCCATGGCAATAAACAGGAGGTGAACCCTCTACCAGAAACATTACATATTACACCTTTAAATGTTCTTGCGCGATCTCAATAGACTAAATTTAGAAAAGAAAGTATGTCTCCCTCTAGTGGTACTTACATCAGAGTCCTCGTGCTTGTTAACTCCATGGAAGTAAAAAGGCTTGTTGTTTATAAGGAACTGTGTAGTGGTGACATTCACAGTGCGAATACCCACAGGTAATGCATACACATCCTCAAATGTAAACCGTCCATCTGATGCAGACATTTGAACCTAGGTAAAAAGAGAACCGAGGTAAAAAGACAATTTAACAACATTTACAAATGCACAAGAGCATCCAAAAATGTGCAATCAAATTTCAAACAAAGCACTAGGGGTGGGCAGTATGTCAGAAAATATTATCATGAGTCATGTAGACTTAATATTCTTTTCACTATGCTTGGTTAATTCAATAATACAGTCATCATGCTGGTTTGAACCTAAGCATTAAATAGGGATAGGATCTTTCGTTATCAACAAAATTGCTTTTCATGAATAGCTCGCAACTAGATTTTTATCACAATTTCACCTAGCCCTATTAATAAGGACATTTTTCTTTTACCTCCATAGAGTAAAGGTATCCTGAATTATCATGCATCAGGTACGGCCACCACAGCTTGACATCAGCCACTTTGAGCAGTCCAGATGGCCCATTGGACGTGGCGACGCAGTGACCGTCTTTGTCCATCAGAGTGACCTTCAGTTTAGCTGAGGATGCGCCCTTCACAGACACCTCGTATTTAACTAAACCTGCACAAAAGAGGCAACAGTGTCTAAAAAAATAACATAAATAAGATGAGGAAATTTATTATTTTGCAGATGTATGCAAGATGTAAAAATATCAGGCAAATGTTGACTGTAAATTGAGATCTTTGAAGTAGTTACAAAAGTTTAGTGCATGATATTTTGAATATATTCAATCATAACTCTAGATCAAACAAATGAACTCAAATCACAAGTAAAACCACCAGGACAATGCCTGATCTCCTCTAACCTCTGAAGCTAAGCAGGGTTGGTCCTGGTTTGTACTAGGATGGGAGACCGCTCTGAATACCAGGTGCCCTAGTGTAGTGGCTATGGCACAGTGGTTAGAGCATTTTCCCTTTCAGACCAGTATATACTGTTGTTGGGTCCTTGGGCAAGACACTTATATCCCGTCTTATATCCAGTGTACACCAGTGTATGAATGTGAGCAAATGCAGGACAACAGATAGAAATTAGCTCATGTCTACAATTCATTGTGTTTAAAACATGTATATCATCACGTATTATATTATATTAACATGCGCTGTCCCAACAAAAACAACAACAAAAAACAGACATTCAATGTAATTACCGGTGCTGTCAGCAAAGTCTGTAATCACAGTGATGTCATCAATATAAACCTTCGGTGTAGTGTAGAGCAGCACAGGACGATGAATTCCAGCATAGTTAAAGAAATCAAAGAAGATGTTTTGAACAAAATAGCCGGCAGGATATCTGTTTAAGGGATCAGTTAATAAAATAACATTAAATACATATTTAACTGTCTTAAATATTTCTTTAACTTACTTAGTGTGGTCATCCAGGTGGGTGATTGTTCCTGGAGGAAGAGTTGTTAGTGTGAGTGTATTATTCACAGCGATGGTGATCCTGCAGGTCACAGTTGGATCCTTTCTGATTACATTCCCAATATCAGCCTCAAAGGGAAGATGGCCGCCTTCATGCTCCACAACCTGAACTCCATTCACCCACTGCAAAATAATATAAGAATACTGTACAACCCAATCTGAACTATAAACCAATTCATGAAACTCATGAATTTCAGAGAGAGGTCTAAAATACATGTAAAACTAGATTTTTAAAAATAAAACAGCAGCATATTTTGTTGCATTTCCATTCTTTTTATCTAAATAATTGCAGGCATTTCATTTTAATGATTGTGCAAACTTCCTTTGTGATTTAGGTTTCGACATATTGTGCAACACTACAAGGATACAAGGATCTCTATAATAGAATGAGGCTGGACAAGTGTAGTGTAAATGATACTCACCACAACTGAATAATAATGAGCACTTCCAACACGGAGCACCACTCGTGTTCCTTCATCTTGGACCCAGCGGGAGGGCACCACCACCTCTCGCTCGTACCACACCCACCCTATGAAGTCTCTCAGCTTGGCATCCTGGGTTATGTCATTGTAGCTGGCAGGAACTGGCATTTCAAGGACAGGACCAGTCTACACAGAATATAAAAAACAAAACAAAATCCAAACTCAAAGAGGCTGTGCAGCTCCACTGTCTGAAAAAGGGCCTTTCATTATGCAGTCTCTTCTACTAAGGTGAGTACAAAATCTCTTTGGAGTGTCCTTGTACTGAAGTAATTTTATAAACCCATCTGGACCATATTGCTTTTTCTCTCTCTCACTCTCAGACTGATAATATACATTATACACCAGCATGTGTTTGGTGTTTTTGTTCTTAAAGATCTGTAGTAGATTTTGTGGTCAATTTTGTTAAATTCACTTATTTGAAATGCCCTTTGGTCTTAAAGCTACTATCTGTGAGTTTTTTTTTTTTTTTTAATAATAGATGGAGAATATGAAACCTGTTTTCCCTCCTCTCACCTTGCCTTTGTTCAGACTCACCTGTGCTCTCTGGTCTTCCTCTGTCAGGACAAAACTGACACACTGTCAAATTGCAGTAATGTAGATAGCATCTAGTGATGATATGTTAGAATACAACAGTGCCAGGCTAATCTCATTACAAAATATAGCTGCAAGAATCAACATGCCAAATTTCATAGCCTTTATTCCAAGGCATTCTACGGGATCCCCCAAAAAAGAGCATTTTTGACTAAATTCAACATGGCTGCCAAATGCAGATGGTTGCATGATAAACTTTTTATGACACATGTCACTGAGTCACATAGCATCAGCAGGCAAAAAAAAATAAAAAAAATAAATCCAAACAGATCAAGAGATATCACTTAAAACACTTTTTTTGCTAATTATAGCGCCCCCTAGAGGTCAAAGGTCACCAAATTTTTTGAGGTATCAAATCTGGTGTCAATATGTCAAAGCGTTTCTGCAATCCAATTACTTACAATCTTTTCAAGGGGTACCATCATTTTTGTCGAGGCCAGTTTCATTCGTTTTTTTTTTTTTTTTTTTATTATACTGAACAACAATTCAAAAACAATGGCTGACTTTCATTGGTTATTTTTCAGGAAATTTGTCTTCATTATTGTTTTTCTCCATTTCACATAATTTCAGTGACCAGCTAGCAGCCGAAACATGTCAACAAGATAAACATACTTTATTGTATTGTCTTTAAAAAGTACCAAGAAGTTAAAATACTTTTAGTTTCACATGCAAAAATGTTATGATCTAAAGTTAAAGGTGCATTGTGTAACTTTTCTAGTGCAGAGACATCAAATGCTTTTCTCCATGAAGATGTCATTGCACTGTCTGGAATGTTTCACAATCTGGCATTAAACATTTCTATCTTCAAGGAGACCAAACAGAGTTACAGGTCAGATCTGTGCGAGACAACCCTGCTCAGTGTCAGAATGCCTGTTTTTCTAGGTATTTCTGAGCTGAAATAAAACCACTTGTAATTGAATAAATGTAAGGTAGAGCTGTTCAATGTCATATTAAAGAGCAATGGCGTATCCATAGAAACAAGCAGGTGACGGACCCCCAAGCAAAAAGTTGTGCATCTTTAATATGAGACAGGCCATCACCAAGTCTGTTATGCCTAGCAGAGTTCTCCATAAGTAAAAGCATAACACATTTATTATAATTGCCATTGCACAATAGAAGGCCAAAGGAAGTTGGTTTCATGACTACAGCAAAACCAGGTTAAATACATTGAGCAACTCAGCGCCTTATCTGCAAGGGAGCACTGAGCGTTCATATTTTGACGTTTTAACCAATACACTTTCGTTCTTATTTCAACAACAACATCAAGTCAAAAGCTAAACAAACAGAGACACGCGCTACTCACAGTTGCCAGTGGACTTTTGTACCATGCCCTGTCAAAGCCCTCGTTCCTACTGGGAGACATATCCGCTCTGAAGCTCCACAATCCGGTCAGCTGTTTCACCTCTCTGGAGGGGGTCTCCCGGGGGTACAGCATGCCCCCGGACCCCTGCAGACAAGCCACATCCAACAATGCGCAAAAATACCAAACGCCGAGCCAGCCGGACCATCTGCGCGCCGCCATGGTGAAGTTACAGCCCGACGCACGCAGACGCTTCTGTATTTCCGCGGTCCCGTGCTCCATAGTCACGTGAACAAATGTATAGTCACGTGGCCAAGACCATTTATGTATTAAAGAGTATTTCTTTACTGTTCTTTGCCGATAAAGGCAATATGGCGCTGTGGAAGTGGGCTG